GCGGGCGGGCGGGCGGCACGTGCAAGAGCAGGCGGAAGGCAGGGGCCAGGAGGTGCAAGAGAAAGAGGAGGAGGCAGAGGCGGGAGAGAACAGAGGAGAGCATAAAAGAGGCGGGTCCCCAAGAGGGCCAATCTCCCCAGCAAACCTGCCCCCAACCTAGGATGGCTCTGGGTGCAGCAGGGACAGCAAGGTGATGGCAGGGGACACGCAGGGAGGCAGTTAGTTCAGATGGGGGACAGAGGAGGTAGGCAACGGGCTTGCTTTGACAGCCCCCTCATTTCGGCTGGACCCAGGGGCACAGGGTAGCCCCCCATGAGAATCAGCACTCGTCCTTAGGAATGGGCTGGTCCCGGAGACGCCACCTCAGTGGTTGTGGGGTTCGACCATTTTCTAGCTGCCTGGGAGCCTATGAGTGTGCACTTGTGGAAGTAGTGACAGGCCTGGAGGGGCCAGGACTTGCCCTCCCTCTTAGGGGTGGCAGACAAGGGCCACCACGCCCAGCCATGGGGTACTGAGCAGCCTGGGCCTGACTCAAGGTAGGAAGGGGACACATGCCCCGTCCCCTGCTCTTCTGGTCACCTCCCCATCACTGCACAAGGGCCACCACTGCCCAGCCTTCCTGCCCTTCGAAGCCCAGGCAACCGCAGACCACCACACCGGCCAGCCTCCCCTTGAGGTACAAAGCCAGAGTCTGGACCCACCCATGGCCAAGTGCAGGCAGTACAACGGCCCCCAACCCACCATGCCCAGAACTAGCACAGCCCTCCTCGTCCACTTACCCCCACCTGGCCGAGTGGCCAGCCACATCCTCCCTTCTTCCCCTGCCTCCTGTGATCGGCCCCAGCAGAGACCCTCCTGTGATACACCCCCAGAGGAGACTCTCCTGTGATACACCCCCAGAGGAGACTCTCCTGTGACCGCCGCCCCCCAGCAGAGACCTGCAGGTTCCCAGCTGGCCCAGTTTCTTCAGCCCTTTGCTGAGTGGTCCCACCCATCACACCCTCTCCTTGGCCCTCTGCTGGCATGTGGGGCGGCCTCTGCCTGCCCCTGGAGTCTATGGCCTGCCCCACCCCTCCCTGTTGCTGGCTGGCGGGGAGCAGCTGCACAGTCCTTCTGCAGGAGGCCCTCACTCTGGTCACCAGTACCAGAGCCTCAGCGGATCCGGCTGTGGAGGGTGGGACAGTGACCCCCAGGAGTAGGTGGTAGCTGGGTGCCGTGCAGTCGCCCCCGTTCCAGCCCCAAGCTCCCCGGGCTGCCCTCTTTGTAGGAGCAGGTGACCAGGCCTCTCTCCCTCGGGGCAGCTGAGCCAGTTCCAATGGTCCAACCTCCCTAGAGGCCGAGCCAGGGCTTCCCCAGGAGGCCACCAGGGCAGGGCGACTGCTGGGAACCTCTTCTGGAAGGGCAGCCTGCCCCAC